CCCTGCTGGTGCAGCCACAGCTTCCTCGCCGGCCTGTCGCGCACAATCTCCAGCCCAAGGTACTTCACCACCGGCGAGATCTCACGCAGCTTGAAGGCGGCCTCCAGCGGCTCCTTCAGCTCCTTCTGTATCGTGGTGCTGCTTCTGGCGGCGAGCAGGTCGTCGACGTAGACCAACACCCAGCAGGTTTCTCCGTCGTCGCCGGCCTTGAAGTAGAGCGCCTCATCGACCTGGCTCTTCTTCCAGCCAACCCCAAGAAGCACGCTGTCGAGAGCCTTGTACCACAGTAGCGGCGATTGCTTCAGCCCATAGAGGCTCTTCAGCAGCTTACACACCCGGCCGGTCTCGTCGTCGAAGTAGTCCGGCTGGTATAGGTAGAGCACCCTATCGAGCTTGCTCTGCAAGAAAGCGTTCTTCATGTCGAGCTGCATCAGGTTGAGGTCGAGGACGGGGACGATGCTGAGGAAGATCCTCAGGGTGACGTAGCTACTCACCGACGAGTACGTCTCGTCGTAGTCGGCGGCATACATCTGCGTGAAGCACCTTCACGCCAAGCCTCGCCTTCTCACGCTCGACGGTGTCGTCGATACGGTCGTCAGCACCCACCGGTTCTTTATGATGTTCACCCCGGGTGGGCGTTCGACCAGCTCCCAAGTGCCCATGCCGATGAGCACTACAGCCGCAGTTGCGCATGAAAAACAATGATTCTGTCGACATTTCAGGCAAATTTGAGGTTGTTCCATTCTTGTTTGACCTACTGATATTCTTCGCTTCGGGGCAGCACCATACTGCGTTTCGGTTTAAAACCTACTAAAAAGATGCAACTTGCGAAACCCTCAGATCATGCAACTGATGAGTTGGTCCTGCCTCGGATGTCAAACCAAGAGGAACGCACTCACAATGTTTGCAGATTTGTGAGCTTGCCAATGGAGTCAGGAATGGGACCTGTGAACAAGTTGTAGCCAAGGTTCCTGAAATTAGGGGGATGGTGGAAAATAGGAAGTTGCAAGGGGCACAGGTGGCTCTGATGCCAGTGGAATGCCACATCCGCACAAAATCGTGACTCAGCGAGTCAAAGGAGTAGTCCTATGAGAATTCTCATGAGCTAAAAGAGAGCCTCGCAATAGCTGATCGGCTTGCAATGAGCACGGTTCATTTCTCCTAGACGTGTTCTTGCCTGCTAGACCTCGGCTCCTGAAGCAATAGCCCTAGCTGAGCCCAACCTTCATTAGGGTTGAGCCCACTCCTGTGCGGGCTGGCACAAGGCTCGCTGATGGTCAAACAAACAGGAGGTTGCACACATGGGCATCAACAACGAACAGCAAGTGTACAGGAACCATCTAGCCAGGATCTCAAGTAAAGAAAATTGGTGTCAATTGCAAAACAATTGACACTGGTTTCACCCTGTTTGAGTGGGCGAAGTGGAATGACGGGTTTGGAAGTTGACTGTGCGACACATTCCCCGTTTTTCCCTTTCATAGTGTGCCTTCATAGTGCGCGTAGCTCTTGATGAAACTGGTGTGCACGCGTGCTATTTGGCTAGGGCTGACCGTTCTGGGAAGCCAAGAAGAACTGCACTCACAGTGAGCTTAGATTCGTGAGATTGTACAGGGATTCGGGAATTGTGCCGGACAGTTGGTTGAAGCTCAAATCTCTGCAAGGGAAGGAATGGGAAGCACGCATGTGGCCAGCTCAAAGACTATATTGCATATGTAGGTGGTATTTTGCAGAGGTGTTGTGTATAGGTGTATGTGGGACACGAGAATAAGCTGTTGACAAGCTCTCACTTTTAAGATTCTCAAAAGCTCCTGGCTAGATTGGCATTGCAGTGTCATGAATAAACAGAGCAGTGCCCTCGTTCGGAAAGAAAACGCGTATAGAAACTCGACTCGTTTCTCCACTCATGCGTGCGTGCGTGTGCGTCTATGGGGGTGTGCGTGCATGTGTGCATGTTTGTTGATTGTGGGAGAGGTGGTACGTGACCAGAAGGATGTTCGAATTGCTTTGTGAGCCAACGGAGCAAAATACAAGACATTTAACTTGTCGTTTCATCCGTTCACTCCCAACCACCCCCTGGGTATAAACACTCCACTCAGAATTTGGAACTCACCTTCTGGGATGATGTGACTATATGAACGAATGCTGCTGTTTTGTTGAACACGGACATGTTCGAGCTCGGGGCCAACATCTAGGTGTTTGTTTCTTTGGAATGTGTTCGGGCAAACAAAAACATGTTCAGTCTAAACCCAATGTACACAATGTGCATTTGTTGAACCTGCGAGGAAAATCGTAGAAATGCATACGAACACATCAATGCATGATGAATGACATGAGGGACAAGAGTTAACAAAATGGTTCTCACATAGCACAGCAGAATGCAAGAGGCATGCCATGGCGAAATGCATGGAGACCCAATGCGGAACAGCTTCTCAATGATTACCTAGCAGTTTTGCAGCCAAAATGGAAAGGAAATGGCCCATTCAACGAACATCATTACTCCATCATAGCACGAACTTCTCTCGGCAAATCCACATCAAGTCACACCCGCTTTTGCAACTTCTCAGATTTAACCAGATATGAATCGACCCACCTCTTTGTAAAAATCCACGTCAATCAGTTTTGCTCGCTTGACGGCCCACAGGGTGGTGTCTGGACACACGCCTTTGTACACGTCACCAAAGGCACCCGAGCCAAGCTGGTTGTCAGAAGACCAGTTGTTGGTTGCTTTGAGGACTTACTCTAGAGTGTACTCCGTGCATTGAGCACCCGACATGCTGCGAGCTCGGCCTGTGATAGTGTGGGGTGAAAAGAGAGTTGACGACGTGTGTTAGTGTGGGGTGAAAGAGGTGGGTGCAACTGTTGATTGAGTGTGGTGAAAGTGAGTGTGTGGGGTGAAAAGTGTGAGTGTGAGGTAGAGGTGAGCAAAGGGCGAACACAAACATGTTCGTGTTCCGCCCCAGGACGAACATTACTGTTCGCCGAACCGAACAGTGTTCGGTTTGGCGAACAGTTTAATAAAAAAAAAGTGCTCGGTGTTCGCCTGTGAAGGCAAACACCTAGCTGCCACGGGCGAACACGAACATGTTCGTGGCAAACACGTTCGTGTTCGCCCATAGGGCATTTTCACCATAGTCACATTCACACACATTGGCCAGATCTAGATTTGGACCCTGCATAATGAACAGTGGGGGGGTTAACGATGTTTACGTGTTAATGCAATGTACCAAATCCGTATTAATGCTATGAAAGGTCCGTGTACTAACCCTAAGATGATACTTTGACACCCTCCATAACGCTAAGGCTAAGGCGCTTAGGGGAGACCAGGGGCGGGCGTGTAGGAAGATGTGAGTTTGAGCTCATAAAATGAGCTCAAACTCAATTTGGCGGCGACCTAAATTTGTTCGCGGCCAAATTCGTCGACGAACACTTTGGTGTTCGTGTTCGACGCAACTCGGCCAGCCGGTCCAGACGAACCTCGAACATGTTCAGGCGAACATCGATCATGTTCGCCCCGAACATTTTTGGCAAAAAAAAGATCTGGTTCGGTTCGCCTCGAACATGTTCGAGGCGTTCGTGATTTTGCTTACCCCTAGTGTGATGGGTGATAGTGCGGGGTTAGGTGAATGGAAGCAGAGGCCAGGTGTAAATACGACCATGCCAGCCGTGTTAGAAATGTATTTAGTGTAGCATGCCAACACTTGTGACTGTACACCAATTGTGGTGTACAGTTGGGTTGGGACTACACCCAACTTTGGGTGTAGTCTTGCATTGTGGGGTGCCAATCCACCCAATTGTGGTGGAGCCCCCAAATGCAACCCACTTGGCTTATGGTTGCCTCACTTCCCACAAGTGAGGTCAACCCAATTCAAGTGGGCTTAAGGTTGCCTCACTTCCACAAAGTGTGGGCAACCCAACCCACTTGACCTATGGTTACCTCACTCCCCTAAGTAAGGTCAACCCAACCTATGGTCATCTTTACCCTTCCCTTCCAAGCCTCTCTTCCATCTATGTATGCTAGGCTTCTCCCCTAATAAATTCACTTGTTCAATTTACAACTTTCACATGGTATAGAGTTAGTTCTTCCTTGGCCCTTACCTTTCCCTACCCTCAAGTTTTTTTTTTTTTTGGGCCCACCCTACAGTTTCAAGCTTCCTTCCACCGTGGCTGTACTAGCCACCGTTAGCACGCCTAACCTCCGCGACCTTCAAGTCCCCGCCTTCCCCTCTCCCTGCCGCGATTCTGCTCTCCTCGCCCGCGATTTCTACCGCCACGATCGCATCGCCGCCGCTCCTCCCCTTTCCTGCCGCCGCGACTCCTCTCGTGGCCACTTGCCTCTCCCGCAGCCGTGACCATCCCGTCGCCGCCTGCCCCTTCCCGCCGCCGCGAACCCTTCCCGCCGCCGCGACCTCTTCCCGTCGCCGTGACCGTTTCATCGTCGCGTGCCCTTTTCGCCGCCGCACCTGCTTCGTCGCCGCCCACGGTACCTGCCCTCCGCTTCCCCCCCCCCCCCCCCCCCTCCCCCCCCCCTCCTCCCCCTCCTCCTACCCTTCGGCAGCAGCAGCAGACGATACAGCAGCAGCGGCAACAGCAGCCGGCGGAGCGCAGCGGCATTAGCAGCAGTATCCGGTGGAGCGCAACTGCAGCAGCAGCAACAGCAGCTGGTGGATCGCAACTACAGCCGCAGCAGCAGCAGCAGCCGGTGGAGCGCAACTGCAGCAGCAGCCGCAGCAGCAGCAGGTGGGGCACAACTGCAGCAGCAGCAGCCAGTGGAGCGCAACTGCAGCAGCAGCAGCAGCAGCAGTAGCAGTGAAGCGCACCAGCAGCAGCGGCAACCCTCCCCCCCCCCCCCCCCCTCCCCCTCCCTCCTCCCCTCCCTCCTCCCCTCCCTTCATACGGCCGCTGCGGGTCCACCCGCCGTCGCCCTCTCCCCTTGACCGCCGCGGGTCCACCCGCTGCCGTCTCCCTCGTGGCCGCCGCGGGTCCACCCGCCGCCGCCCCTCATGGCTACCAATCCTCCTGCCCCCCTCCCCCCTCCCACCGACGCCTCGTCCGTCGATAAACTCCAACTCGCTGCGGATCGCTCGGCCGTCAACTGGCACTCCTTCGTTGGCAGCGTTCTCCGCGTCCTCCAGGATGCCTTGGTCGGACTATACTGCGTCCTCGACGTCCTGCTTCGCCACCCGCATGCCCTCCAACCAACGCCCCCCACTCATCCTGGTGAACCTCCTCCTCTCCCTCCCCCTCCTGGCCCTCCTCCTCCCGAGCCTGACCTGCCACGTGCCGCTACTCCCGAGCTCCAAGCTGCAGCTGATGCCACGTTTCTCCACAACCGCCGCGAATACCTCATCCGCAAGGCCGCCCACGATGCTGCAGTGCACGACTACGAGTTCGCAACGGCGGGCCGAGCCAATCGCCTAGCCATGATTGACGAATACAACACGGCCATGGCAACCCACATCCCCAACAGCATCACCTGGGCCGCTGCTGACAACCGCGCCTGCACCATCCTCCTCGGTGCACTTCCCAACGCCCTCATGCGCCGCTTCCAAGCTCGCGAAATGCGCGCCCACCTGATTTCGTCCGAGCTCCAGTCCATGTTCGAACGTCGCGACATCAGCTCCGTCGGCCGTGGTGGCCGTGGTGGCCGTGGTGGCGGTGGTAGTAGTGGTGCTGGTGGCACCCCTGCTGGAGGACCTTCCGGTACCGGTGGTGCTGTGACTCGAGGCGGTCGCCCTGGAACTCTCCCCCCATGCACGTATGTTCGCCGCCATGGTCCCCATGCTGGTACTCCCTGCGGTCAAACCAACCATCCTCCTATCACGTGCTTCAAGGCGCTCGATGACGCCTGGTTTGATCGAGGCAACACTGGCACCCCTCCTCGCTGGAACACTGTCACCCCTCGCCCCTCCTTGGTAGATGTTCAGACCCTCCCATCCTTCCTTCCTACTCACCTCCGCCTGGTTACCCCCTCCCCACCCACCTAACTGCAGCAGTTTTAGCAGCACCAGCAGCAGCACCACCAGTACTTCTAGCAGCAGCAACAGCAGTCGCAAAACTCCAGCCCCAGCAGTTCTTCCAGCCGCCGCAGCAGCAGCACCCGCAGTTCCTTCCAACGCACTGGCAGCAGCAACCGATGACCTTCGGCACAGCGGCCATGGCCGCTCATGCCTCTCTTGCTCCCCCCCCCCCCCCCCCCCCGTTGGGGTTCCCTCCCCTCTGCCCCCCCCAGTGTCCCCGACACTTCAGGTAGTTTCCTTGGTCATGTTTCTGCTGCACCATTCGTCGCTTCCATGTATCCCTCTGCTACCAATGAAACATCTTTTCAATACCCCGCGCCACCTCCCCCTCCTTCCCCCCCCTCCTTCCTCCCCCACCTTGGACTTCGTCCTTGATAGTGGGGTCACTGAAACCGCACTAAAAGACGCTGGCACCCTCACCCCCCTACCACTTCCCACTCAGGTACATGGAGCTGATTCCAGCTTTTCCATCCCATGCACTCACCTCTCCACCCTCCCTTGCACTGCCTTCCCCTCCAATAAGGTCACAGGTCTCCACATCCCCACTCTCCGCAACAACCTTATCTCCCACTATGAGCTCCAAGGTGTTGGTATTACAGCCATTTACCCGGGCTTTGCTAACTACTGTGATTTCTACCAAACCTCCTCTGGTCGCTTCCCTTCTCCGCATTTCGCTTTGCCCTCGCACTCGCCTCTACATGCTCCGCACACCTCGTCCATCTTTCTGTCACGTCACCACCCGTGCCGGTACCTCCACCGGTCCACCTCCCCCTCCTCCTCCTCCCCCTCAGGTATCCTCCTCTCCTACCCCATCATCCTCCTCCTCCCCTCCCATTCCTACCATCACCCCGTCTCCCTCCTCCTCTACTACCCTCTCTCACCCTGCCGTACTTTTGCACCACAGACTCGGCCACCCCAACTTCACCGCACTTCGCACCACAGTAACCTCTCGCCTCTTTCGCAGCCTTCCTCCCGTCTTACCCCCCTGCCCCTCCTCCCCCTCTCCCCCTTGTTCTTCATGCATCCACGGCAAGCTCAAACAGTCACCCCACCACAATCATCCCACCTTCGCTGCTGCCCTCATTGACCTTGTTCACATGGATCTCTGGGGCCCCTATCCCATCCGCTCCCGCCAGGGGCACAGGTACATGCTGGCCTCGTCGACGACCACAGTCGGTACTCCACCGTCTTCTTTCTTCACACGAAAGACCAAGTGCTGGCTGTGGTCATCAACTGGGTTGAGCTGTGCCGCAACCACTTCAAACGCCCCATTGGCCGCCCTCACTCTGTCGGTGGGGGTGAGTTCATCAATCATACACTAGCACACACGGCATTCAGCAGACCTCCACCCTCCCCCACTCCCCTCAGCAAAATGGCGTCACTAAGAGTCGCATTCGTGAGATCACCAAAATTGCTCGTTGCCTCCTTGCTCATGCCTCCACCCCTCCTTCCCTCTGGAGCTATGCCCTCCTCCACGTCGCCCTTCTCCTTAACCTCCGCTCCCACCCTCGGCATCCCTCCTCCTCCCCCACAGAGTTCTGGTCCAAGGCCAAACCTGACGCTGCCGGCCTTCGTGTTTGAGGCTGTAAGGCCTTCGTCCTCATTCCGCCCGCCGACCGCTCCCGCGCCGCTGGCAAGCTCGCTCCTCGCGCCCTGGAGTGCGTTTACCTTGGGCACAATCGCGACTCCCCAGGCTACCTGTTCCTCCATCCTCCCACCAATTGCCTCATCCGCAGCAGCGACGTCGTCTCTGACGAGTCCATTCCCTACTACTCCACTCCTCCCCCTGACCCTCTCCCTCCTCCCACTCGCCCCCTCGCTTGGACAGATACCTTCCTCCCGCCTCTCCTCCCTCCAGCGCCTCTCCTCCCACCTATTGCCGCTCTGCTCCCGCCTTCCTCCTCTGCCGACGTCTATGACCCCGCCGCACCCGCATCCCCCGCCCACTCAGCTGCACCCCCTCCTTCCCCTCCCTCCTCCTCTCATTCTCCCCCTTTGCAGCAGGAGCCGGGGCAGCAGCAACAGCAGCAGCCACTGGGGCAGCAGCAGCAGCAGCAGCAGCAGCAGCCAGGACAGCAGCAGCAGCAGCAGAAGCAGCCGGGACAGCAGCAGCAGCAGCAGCAACAGCAGCAACCGGGGCAGCAGCAGCAGCAGCAGGGGCAGCAGCAGCAGTAGCAGGGGCAGCAGCAGGGGCAGCAGCAGCAGCAACAACGTGCAATCTCTCGCTCCTCCCCTTTTCTCCTTCCCCGCATCCACACCCGTTCCTTGGATCGTATCCCTGGGACCCCTCCTCCTCCTCCCTCCCTTCAGCTCCTTGAGGACTCTCACAAGGAGTTCCTCACCATTCAGCAGCACACTCCTTTCTTTGCCACCCTTCCTTGACTTCCTCGGCTTTCCCGTCCTTAGCGCCACCCCCACCCCCACCAAATTCACTCCCACCACCTTCCAAGAGGCCATCACTTGCCCTGACGTAGATAAGTGGATAGCGGCGATCCTCCAGGAGTGTGAGGTGTTTATCCGCAACGACTCATTCGTTGACGTCCCCCTCCCCGCCGATGCCAACTTTGTCGAGGGCAAGTGGGTCTTTCGGGTGAAGCAGCTGCCGGACGAAGACCCAGTCTACAAGGCACGCTACTGCGTCAAGGGTTTCACACATACGTTTGGGGAGGACTTCTGGGCCACCTACGCCCCCACCACCAAACCCCCCACCCTTCGCGCAGCCCTCGACATTGGTGCGCGCGACAACATGGAAATTGACTCCATGGACGTGTCCAACGCGTTCCTGCTGTCAGTGTTAGCCCTCAATCTCACTCTTTGAACTATATATTTTCTAAATTCTAGAATAATGTAGTTTGTACTTTGTGTTTGGTTGGGTGTACACCTACATCCCAACCAAACCCAAATGTAATCTCTAAGCAATTTCCAACCCACTAATTGCAGATTGCCTTGGGATTACCCCCAATCCCTAGGGATTGGCCATGATTCCCTTCCCCATCCATTCCTTGCCCATCTTGGATGTACTTAAAGAGCTTCAAGCTCATTACTAATTCATCGGTTCTAAGCCTAAGTTGTGACACCTGCACGGCGACTTGCACGAGCGCATTTTCCTTTGGCGACAACCCAGGTTTTACGCAGCCTTCCCTGAGAACACTGTCTGGCAACTGCGTTGCCCTGTCTACGGCTTGAAGCAGGCACCACGTGAGTGGCATGCGAAGCTGGCTGCCACCTTAGGGTCTCTCGGCTTCTCCGCGTCGCACTCCGACGCCATCCTCTTCATCCGCTCCTCCCCCCGCCGCTTCTTCATTCTGGTGTATATGGACGACATGATCCTGCTCTCTGACTCCAAGGCCGACATGGAGCAGATGAAGTTGTCCCTGCAGCAGCGTTTCAAGTGCAAAGGCCTTGGCACCTTCACTCACTACCTGGGCATGGCCATCACGCGCAACCGCCCTGTTCGCACCATCACCCTCTCCCAGTCCCACTACATCGACCAGGTCTTGGAGAAGTTCGACATGGCGCAGGCCAAGCCCGTGTCCACCCCTCTCCCTTTTGGCCACCAACTCGCTCCACCCACTTTTCCCACCTCCTCCCTTCACCCCTATGCCGAGCTCGTTGAGTCCCTGATATACACGATGATGTGCACCCGCCCCGACTTCGCCTACCCCATCAGCGTGCTCGCTCGCTTCGTTGGCACCGGTCCCCACACTGAGGAACACTGGAAAGCTGCCAAGAGGGTCCTCCGCTACCTTCGAGGGACCAAGGACCTTGCCCTCACCCTTGGCGGCTCTTCCCCTCCTCTTCTCTCGGGCTTCAGTGATTCCTCTTGGGCTAACACATAGCCGGACCGGCGCTCCTCCCAGGGCTACGGCTTTACCCTTGGCAGCGGCCTCATCAGCTGGCGCTCCACCCGCTCCTCCGCCATCTCTCTCTCCACTTGCGAGGCCGAGCTCTACGCTGGCTCTATGGCCGCCCAGGAGTCGCGTTGGCTATGCTTCCTTCTTGCTGAGCTTGGCGCCCCCCAGCCGTGCCCCACTCTCTGGTGCGACAATCCCAGCACCATCCACTTCACTCAGGATCCCGTCTATCACGCCCGCTCCAAGCACATCGAGCTCCGCTACTTCTTCATTCCCGAGCTCGTCCAAAAGGCCCTCATTGCTGTTCGCAAGATTGCGGCCGAGGCCAACTTGGCCGACATCTTCACCAAGGCCCTCCTTCGCCCTGCGAACTCTGATCTCCTCCGCCTCGTTGGCCTCGCTCGCCCGGGCACCCCTTGATTAAGGGGTTGTTCTTTTCTTGTGTTAGCATGCTAAGGGGTTGTGTTAGAAATATATATATAGTGTAGCATGCCAACACTTGTGATTGTACACCAATTGTGGTGTACAGCTGGGTTGGGACTACACCCAACTTTGGGTGTAGTCTTGCATTGTGGGGTGCCAATCCACCCAATTGTGGTGGAGCCCCCAAATGCAACCCACTTGGCTTATGGTTGCCTCACTTCCCACAAGTGAGGTCAACCCAACTCAAGTGGGCCTAAGGTTGCCTCACTTTCACAAAGTGTGGGCAATCCAACCCACTTGACCTATGGTTACCTCACTCCCCTAAGTGAGTTCAACCCAACCTATGGTCATCTTTACCCTTCCCTTCCAAGCCTCTCTTCCACCTATGTATGCTAGGCTTCTCCCCTAATGAATTCACTTGTTCAAATTACAACGTTCACAAGCCGTTCCATTTTGCCATATCAGTACCTAGTTGTTGTCAATACTCTAGCATATGAGGGAAGGGTAGATAGAAGGAAGGGAAGATAAAAGAGTGCCTCCAAATTTTGCCTCGTTTGCCTCATGAATGCTGAAGAGAGAAAAAGTCAAGAGGAGAGGAGGAACAACGGGGAGGAGGGAACACATCGGAGATGTCTTAAGAAGAAACGTTTTTCTGGACTATTGGGTCTCTCTTATGAATCTGACATACATTGGGTTTCAAGTCAAGGTGTTAAGCTTCATAACGTAGAGGGATTATGGATGGACAGGAAGCCATACTTGCTGAACGTGCTGCCAGTCTCTTGTGACCTTTTCGCCACCACAGCAGCACGCCAATGCCAATGATCAGCAGCATCACAGCAGCCACAGCAATGCCGGCAATGACTCCCACAGAGAGACCGCCTTCAGACTAGGAGGGAGGTGCTTCGAGTGAGAGGGGGTCGGAGGAGGAGGATGGGGTCGGTGAGGGGGAAGATGGAGTGAAGGAGGGGGCAGCTGGAGGGGGAGAGGGTGGGCCTGTAGTGTGTGAGGGATGGATGGGGATAAGACGGACGCGGATGGAGAGACAGGGACAAGATGGGTTTGGAACGAATGTGAGAAAGATTGCAAACTAGTGGGGATGCGATGGATGGAATGGAAATTACAGCAGAGATGTGGCACTGATAGCATGTCATGTAGGTAGCACGTACATTTGGCCATGCAGTGCCATGTGGGCTAGTTGCGTTGGGAGGCATGTGGGCAGGCAGGGGAGCAGCAAAAGTATGACAATATGAAATAAAAGTTGATGCTTGGGAAACATGAGAGAGAGAGGAGCAGACTTTCAATCAATTCTTCTCTTGTACTCTCCATTTATATTTTAGAGCTCACGTGGTGCTGTCTTGTTGCAGGTGGAGCAGAAGGAGGGGCAACTGCCGCATAAGGCGCTTTGAGAGAATTGCTTAACCGCACATGGACTCTTGTTAGGCGGGCACGTGAGTGCAGTTAAAGACAGATTCCTGGACGGGCAGAAGGAAGAATTAGAGTAAAAAAAGCAGAGAAAATCACAGTGCTAGCGAAAAAATTGGCGCTTGCTGGGTGGCTGGGTATTCGACACAAACACCAGCAAAGTTCCATGCACGTGGGTGCTCCCTAGAAGATCGAGAAGATGGGCTCTGTATGCTCGGCGTGCAGCACTTAGGGCAAACAAGAATAGAGCCTTTTATTTTTGAATTCATAGTTTTGCGGAAAAAAATAAAAACAAACTTACAATGGACTAAGTTTGGAGAGTTTGCCCAGAGTTGGAGGGAGTTGTCCTGACAGATTGGTTCCTCTAATTTCCCTGCATGTGGGGCATTGTTGGTTGCACATACAAAGAGGTTGCAAACGCATGGTCGGGTACATTTGTGACAAAACACAGAAATTTGTTTGCGAAACTCTGTTGTCCTGATAGACGTGGTCAATCCTTTTGTCTTGTATGTTCTTGAAGGGAAATGGACATTATAGGGAGGATAATGATCGAGTCAACCAAAAAACCCATCTATCAGTTAACCTGAAGCCAGCTGGAGAAAAGTGGTGATTTTGTTCCTCGTTTCTAGTCCAATTAAGGTCCAAGGCGAGGCATAGGGCTGACTTTTGAGAGGCGACTATTGAGTCGACTCAGAAGTCGCCACCTTTGTGAAGTCCAAGGCTGGCATAGAGTTGAGCAACGGTTTGACCCAACCCGCCACGACTGGGGTTGACCCGAGGGGGTAGGGCCTGGTAGGGTTGGTCCGGTCGAGTTGGGTCAGATCCGGTCGGGTCGGGTTGGGTTGGGTCGGGTAATGCTCCAGAGACAACGCGTGTGCTTTCAGCTCAAGATGAAATGGGTCTGCTTTCTACTCAAGAATTAATGGGTGTGCTTACAAGGTTGTGAGCTGCAAGAGGTTGCCAATGGACTCTGGGATGCTGCCAGTCAGGTTGTTCCAAGAAAGGGACCTGGTGCAGACACGACAGCAGCAGGGAAGAAATTTCAGAAGACCATGTTGTACGTACTACAAACAAGACAGGTAATAAATGTGTTGAATCAACCTATACAATGATGAGCAAAGAAGGAAATTGCTGTACATTGAATCATGTGAATCTAGAATATAGCAAGTGAACAGTGAAGTGTGAAACGAAGGCATGTGTGTCGATGACATAGTGTTACTACAGATAATATTTAGAGGCTAACGAAGAAAATGCCTCACTGTTCATCTAGTGAAAGAACTTACAAGTCACTCAAATAAACAAGGTTGCCTATCACTGTGGGTATCGACCCTGTAATTTTGTTTCCCCATAGAAATCTGCAATTTGTACCCAGGGGATGTCAAGGAACAATGCAACTTTTTTTCTTTTTCTTTTTTCTTTTTAATTATTTTTTGCGCCTTTGTTCCTAGAGAATGTTTCCGCTACACAGTAGCATTG